TTTTTTGGTTTTTTTTCTTTGCATGTTTTACTTAACTAATAAAAAAAGAGATGTTAAAAATACCAAAAACTTCCATTCGTTTTAGTTCTTTTTGAATAAGAAATAATATTTCAGAAACAACTTCATTGGATTTATATAGAATAAATGGTTATGTTGCTGGGAATGCAGTGAAATTAATGCTTTATTTAAATACATGTTTTCGCAGTGTCCAACAATTGTTCCATTTGGGAAAGAAATTATTACATGCATTAACTCAACTTTGAGATTCAGTATTTTCAGGTGTTTATATTCTTTTGAAGTTTATTTCTATCACATGGGAGTTGACTTCTGGACAAAGAAGGTAGATTTTCTGTACCTTACTTACAGCTAAAAGACTTATTGTTCAGCACCGAAAAGACAAATATATAGCTCCAACTATTCAGTGCTGCAGAATTTATCAGCATGCAGTAGATTAGCTATGAATGACTGTAATGAATTATAGCTTCCATTCACTGAAATTGTTACTGTAGAACTTTACATACATAGGTATGTCTGTGAATATATGCCCTGTATGTCTTTGTTTTTTTTTTTAGCTTTCTTTTCCCCCCTTCTTTTATAATTTTATGTATTATTTTTTCTTTTTCTTTGTTTTTCTATCTAGTAACAAGAAGAACAGCAAAAGAGCTTCCATCTTGGTGCCAGCCTGCCACTGAGGAGGCTGAAGCTGGATGAAAATCATCTGGCAGGGAAATGGTGTTTTCCACCAGGAAACTCAGTCTATCCTCTTCTGTACAACCTTCTGGTTTGCAGCGGGGAGGAGCATGAGCAGATTCAGCTCTGTGCTTCCATGGCCGTTCTTGCTTTGGCTGTCAGAGAGAACAGAACCTCTCTGGCAATCAAGTTTTCCCTTTTCTTTTTAGTCTCAGGTAGGAACAGTGACCTCATGCAAGGTAATCCATGAGGGTGCTGTTCCTACTGGTAAGCTGTGCTGCCACCTCCCACCACCTGTCTCCCAACTTTTTTTCCTCTCTAACAAGTGACGATCCTTCATCGTCTCTGCTTCAGCCTTCTCTTACCTCTGTGCTTTCCCCAAGAACAGCCCCTAGTAGCCACAACCACTGACTGCAGTAACAGTAACTATCCCTCACCCCCCCCCCATGTGATCGCACCAATGTTACAGTAAGACAACCACTTTGGGGCAGTAGTTTCTGAAGCTGCCTGTTTTCCTTCTGTCTTGAGCTCACCCCAGAAGAAATTCTGATGAGTCAGATAATATTATGTCTTTAGATAGATGTTTGAGAAAGGTGCTTCTGCATTATTATCTGATGGAAATGGATGCACTATTTGAACAATTACCTGATTAATGGCATACAGTGGGCTAAGTGCCACTGTGCTGTAACATTTCTTCTGTACTTCCTTGAAATTCAGGAGTTTTGTAACATCATATTAATGTCCCTTCAGATGTATGCATGTACATATGTATTTATGTTAGTGGTTGGCTTTGTATCCTACCTTTTCATCAGTAGGTCAAGGTGGTTACATGCTCCTCCTATTTTCCCCACAACAAGCCTATGAGCTAGTTTGGGTAAAAAGAGAGCAACTGGTCCAAAGTTATTCAGAGAGATTCTTTAGTGCAGGATGAATTTGAACCAGTATGATGTCAGGACAAGAACCCTTGGCTCAAAGTGGGTAGCCTAATTTCTACAGTTAACCCAAGAGGGCAGCTGTTTTTCCTATGACATTATTTTGTTCATCCTAATAGTCCATTCCCTCCAGGACCAGATCTGGCTTGGATTTAGATTTTCTGTAGATGTCAGCTCCACTACATAGGCCAACCCAAGAAATCAACTCCACAAGAAGGCTTAAACTATTTTTATTAATATTAGCTATAGTAACGAATGTTGCAGGTCTAACTGTGCTTTACTCCCACCACCACCAGTAGCCACTCATGTGAATTAGGGAGGTGCCTGCCTGAGTTGCTTCTGTATACCTCCTCCTTGTTTTGGACTTAAGTCATGCTTTTCCCCTTCCTGCTTTGGCAAAGGATCTGGCCTAACTCTGTCAAGGTCATCTTCCTTACTCTCTACAACAGACTAATTGCATCAGTTTTCCGTATAGGACTGTAATGTCTATATTATGCCTATAGAACTACATTACAATGAAACAACAACAACAACAAACAAACAAACTCTGCTTTGGAAGTATAATCTCTTATCAATAGGTTGCAAGTACATATTCATTCACATAACTTATATAATACAGGTAGTCCCCAGGTTACGAATGCCCAGTTTATGGATGACCCATATGGAGCGTATTGTAGCAAAATTTGAGTTAAATACACAATGGTTTGAGTTAATTACACAATACTATTATACAGTATTGTACAATAATACTGTTCTGATTTACATACACATTCAACTTAAGGACAGACTTTGGGAACAGAACTTGTTCTTAAACTGGGGACTACCTATAGTGTAGAATCCCATTTCTTTTGGTGTTTTAACAGCTAATTAAAACTGTTATCCACCCTACTATATTTTTAAACTCTTATCCATCCTATTACATTTTTAGCTAACCTTATAATATTAGGGAAGTTGTTAGACAAAAACTGCTTCCAGAGAGTTGCAAGCCAGTTCATTTCCATGGTAAACCGGAGCAAAATAACTGTTCAGAAAGCAACACACTTTACATTGCATTCCATGGTTGTGATTGGGTTAACGAAGTAGTGGTTAACCAGTTCTTTAGGATTACTAAGGCAAACTGAGGGGGAGATGTGAGAGTAGGGACTCACCATTGAAGTTAACACTGCGGATATATCTCAGTAACTTCTTGCCCCCTGCATGTTCCATCTCTGGGCAGACCCCAGAATAATCACTGCACAGATCCTTGTTCATCTGATGGAGGGCGTGAGCCATGGCGTAAACCGCATCGATCACAAACTGAACCCGGCCCTCCTGTTCGTAGCGGGAGTCTTTTCCAATCCTTTCCTGTCCTGCACGTTTAAGGATACAGACACAGAGACAGGGGAGATCTTGATCAGCATCAGACAAAAGCATTAGGTCTGTATCAGAAATCATGGGTGAGAATGAGAGGAAAGAATAGTGGTTTGAAAAGGGCAGTCTCAAAAAATTCTAAGATGAAATTCATGATGGGACTGAGACTATTTCAAGAAATGCTGGGGGAAAAAAATGATTTAGAAGCCAAATAAGCAGTTCTTGGGAGAAATTTGCTGTCTGTACATCCATCCATCCATCCATCCATCCATCCATCCATCCATCCATCCATCCATCCATCCATCCATCCATCTGGCTAATCAAGGTCCAAAGGAGTCCATCTTCCCCAGGGATTATCAGTTACCTGGAGTTAGTGTTTTATCAAGATCTGGAACACTCTGAATACAAGGCATATGCTGTGCCATTTTCACAGTCTGACATTCTAAAACTCAAGACTCTGAGACTCTGACTGAAAAACATGACCAGGCTGTAGAAGGAAGAGTAATTTTGGATGCAAAAAGAGGAGAATGTGATTAACCAGCTTCTGGTGGAAGCACGGTGTGTATGCATTTCCTTTGTTAAATCCAGAAGAAATAAAAGAGCTTTGGGATAAATCGAAAGCCAATGAAATGTTCATTTGCAATGCAATCCATTTTCCCTCAGTCTCTGCAGAGGACATTGTAATGGTCATTTCTTGGATACCACAAGTACTGTTTTTAAATCTAATGATATTAAAACAAAAACAAAAACAGTGACCACACGAGGGAAAACAGTATGACATTTCCATGTTCACAGACTCTTCCTCTGAGCAGCTTTTCAGAAATGAGTATGGTCTTCTCTGCTTTGTTAGACAGTTCACACTCTTTTTTTTCCCCCCTATGCTGCACTCCTAAATAGAGGATCTTATGAGGAAAAACACCATTTGTTATGGTAAAATAATTTTCAGAAGATCAGAATCTGGATACCTCTGTGACCAACAAATATTCACATCATCAACTTTACAAAAGTCAGTCTTTCTCATTCATCTGTAAAATATGCAATCACTGTGGAGAATGAGCTAAAGATAGTACACGTTCTCCCAAAGCATTACTGCTTTGCTAATAATTAAATACACATTCTATCATAGGATAACAAACATGCAGGAGGGGAGAAGGGATACTATATTCTTAAACTATTTTGGGGAGCTTTTTTCCATAAATACACGTTCTACCCATTCAAACCTTTTGCAAATGGTCTAAAGCTAAAGGTGCAATTCATTAAACCCTGATATTTAATGAGATCCACCTGATGTTTGAATACAGAACCAGCTGTGGCCTCAGGATAGGGGTTATCGAGCAGCTATTGTTGCTTGCAAGACCTCAGTGGCTGTCTGAGATGCTGTTCCACAGGTAGCTAGTGGTGAGACCCTATCATCTGTGAGGCTGGGCTCTGGGGATCACATAACAGCATAATTTACAGCTGACTACCTGCCATGCTATTCAACACTATAGAAAGGTTGGTAGTGGAGTTCTCCAGAGTTGTGGTACTGGATAACTTCAACTTAGCTTCTCTAAGGCACAGAGTCTGAAACAGCTTGGGAATTCATGTCCACCATGGATCTGGCCCAGATCATCAAAAGGCCTGACACACATTGAGGATCCTGCATTAGATCTAGTTTTTGACTCAGGGCAGAGGGAGTGTGATTTGGTTTTCTGGTCATTAACATCTATGTCTTCTTAAGGTCAGATTTTTTTTTTTTTATTCCTATGCAGATCTTCCATGCTACTCTTCATTGCAGGATGCCTGATAGATCCTTCTGAGTTTTGAAGGAAGCTGAGGTAAATCCCTGAGAAGCTGGTGTACCTTAGTCACCTCTTGGAATGAGAGAGTGACACTCTTAAATAGGATTGTGCATGTGCTTCTCCCTGTCTATGGATCCTGGGGACCCTTCTGGTTTTCAATGGAACTTCAGGAGATGAAATGACAGAAGAGATGCCTGGAGTGCCACTGGAAAAAACTAGGAGCAAATCTGACTGAACACAGGTAAGAACCTACATTAAGGGCTACACAATGGTGATAAAAGCAGCAAAATGTAATCATTTTTCTGCTCTTATGGGATCCACAGATTTCCATCTATCAGACCCGTTTAGAATTACCCAGTCCCTTCTAGAGAGATTGGAAGAACATCTAGAATTACACAGTCCCTTCTAGAGAGATTGGAAGAACATCTAAAATTGCTTATATTCACTCAATCCTACCAGTAATAAGTAGCTGTGGATTTTGGGCCCCACAGGTCCTGGATCTGGAAAGATTTCAACTTTGTCTCTGAGCATGGTTACAGTACTCTACTCAGATTCAGCACACAATTTTGGGATCTTCCTGGACTCACAGCTCCTGCTTGAAGAGCAGGGGGCAGCAGTGGGCAAGAGGGTGTTTTGTACTACTTCATCTTGTGCCCCTGTTGAACCTGTCCCTAGATTGGAGAGCATGATCACTGTCACTCACACCTTAGTTGCTTCCCAACTGAATTATTGCAGTGAGGCTACCTTTGAAGACCATTTGAAAGCTTCAATTGGTCCCGAATGCAGAAGCATGAGTAATTATAAGTGTTCCTTGTTGCATACAGTACTTCTAAAGTGGATATAACATCTCTATTCAGCAAGTTGCACTGGTTGCCTACCGACTTCTGGATGGAATGTTGGTTATCGCCTATAAAGTCCTGCATATCATAGTTGTGGGTTATTTGTGGGACCACCTTGTTATTTATTATTTTTTCCTGCTTATTCAGTCTGGCATGCTTCTCTTTCCCTGCTCCCACCAGTACTGTATCTTTAGATGTACACTTAAAGTTTTTCAGTGCAAATATGTTAGGGGTCAATGTGGCAAACAAACATTTGCATAATATGATACACTCAATAGGGAAACATGACTGCCTATAGCAGATTGTTTTGCACACGCCTCCTCTGGGTGATGTGCAAATTAGTTCTTATTTTCCGAAAGAAAGAAGCAATTTCTTTTCTCCTGCAATAAGAGTACAGGAGTACAACCCAATCTGCATTCCCAAGACTTTCAGCTTTATAATCAGATGATAAAAATGATATATTCCCAGTCTCCTGGGCTGCGACCTATGGATTGCTTTTAATGACTTTATTTTGTCTGTAACGAAATCCAGAGTATCATCAGGCAGAATTGGAAGCAAGCAATATCATCAATGCATTGCCCAATTGGAGAAATAACTTGAGCAAATGTTATAACTTGACCCTCATTTGTATAGATCAGCTCAAGACTCAATAGAATACTGCAGATCTTCAGCTGCAATAATTGGGATGGACAGGAAATTAAGTTTATAAATCTTGATTCCTGATCAGCTAGGGCAGCTTCAAATTCTTCTTTGTTAACATGCTACTATAGGTGAACTCTGATTTGAGGGCTTTCTCGACATAAAGAAGAGATCTAGTGATTAGAACATAACAACCGCTAAGGTCAAATGAATGCTTTCAGAAATCAAGTAAAGCAAAAGCATTCAGAAAACAGGTAAGCAGGACAGAAGTGATATCCCTCTTTCATCACTAGCTCCCCAAAAGCTAGTAGGATGATGATCTTCCTATGATTCAGAAAGTAGCATATGGCCTCTGGTATCCCAATTCCACCTGAATTTGTCTAAGTCTCTTTTGAAATCATCAAAATTGGTTGACATGACACATATGATGGGAAGTCTGATTTAAAGTTACTTGTTTAAATACTCAGTGTGTACTGGATGGCTCGTTATGTGTTGTTAAGGAGTTTACTGAAATTTTCTTGCCAGCTGCCATGATTCGCACACCATACTAAGACACAGTTTGCTTCTTTATGGTTTCTTGACGATGCTCAACTGTCTGGAATCATACACATTATGTTAAGCCATAAAACTTGTTTTATAAAATGTTAGTTGTTTCACACAGCATGGTAAGCTAGAACCAAACAACTACGTATATTAGGCCATAATATGATATATGAATCCAGCCCAGAAAACTGTGGTTGAGGAAATAGAATTGGCTTCCTTAAGTCAATGACATTTGCACTGTTGTGAATTGGATGGAACAGTACCAGTATTTTGAGTTGTCATCTTGATCCTCATTATAAAATGCAGCTGTTCTTTCAAATGATTTTGTCTCTTTGTAAATGCAGGACACGTGAAAATTACCAGCATGCTACCTGCGGTATGTTAATAATATCCCACTGGACAAAGAGATCATCATTTCACTCATTCTTCATCCTTCAATTTGTATGATAAATTGCATATTTGTGTATGTGAACACTGCAGGCATGCTGTTTTCAGATTAGGCTGTTTGAGCAATCTCTCATGCAATCTCTAGTTAAGAAACATTCCAGAAAAACATAATGGCAAACCATTTCTGTACTGTTGCCAAGAAAACTACATGAATATATCACCCTAATCACCTGGAGTCAAGCTTGACTCAAATACTGCTCTTCATTTTTAGCCATTCTGTAGCAATGGAAGTTGGGAGGCCACCACAACTCTCTAGTGGCTGTGGCTGAAACTAACCTATTGTAAAAGGAGCCTTGCTGAATAATTCTAAAGCTCTATCAAATTTAGCTTCTTGTTTCCCACAATTGAAGAGATGTTTCCAAGAATTGTGGAAAATGTCCATTGCCTTTGATTGAAAATAAACACTTTGTTCAGCAACATTTTATTGAACAATTCACAAAAATTAATACTTTCCTTAATTCCAGAAGTTACAATGAAGCCCAAAACAATATAAGAACTGATTACGTGTTAATGCACAAATATATGCCCACATGCCATAAAGCTCATTCAAACAGTTGTCTGAATGTGCAGTGAACAAAATTAGAAGAGAATGGGGCTATGCAATCAATACACTCCCATCCTCTCCAGCCATCATGTATTGATGGACCGCTGAAGGACAGTTACACCTGAATGTGAGCGCAGCTTAACCCCCCAACTCCAAGATGTTCTTATCCCAACTTTTCTTTTCTTTTTTTTCCCCTTGGGGATGTA